AAAAAACAACTAAAATATGCACATCGAGAGGCCCAAACGGCGTCAAGAATGAAACCGATTTCACCAGAGATATGATGAACACAATGCAGGGCGTCGCGGTGTTGAACTGGTTTATTGACGAAACGATCAGAGGCTCATCAAATGCAAAGCGATTCTAGACACGGCTTTTGATAGAAGGAAATTGCTGACGACGAGACGCAAGATATTCGACAAAGAAACCTAAAGAAGAACACTGCACCATTTCAACTTATGCTAAATAACCGATCTGAACTCCTTCACGAAATACAAGAGCAAGAAACAGTGGATGCAATGTATCAGAACATAACCAAGGCAGTTACAAAAACGACCTTGGTGACGGTAGGGAACTTGCAGATAGAAATGAAGTTGACGAAATAACAAATAAAATGTCAGCATGATGACGAATACGATATGCAGTGAAACAAGTTCCTGATGAATATGGTCTCACAATGGAACTCGTGTTATCAGGTGGAGAAGATATGAATAAGGAACTGGCACGCTTGTTTTCATGCTGTATGAAGGAACTAAAAATTTCACATGACCGGACTGCTACAAATATTTTACTCCACACAAAGGGACCTGAGAGAACTGGAAGAATTACCGGTCGAACGATTATCTACAATATCTTCGCGAGGGTAGAGAAGAAAAACTGAACGCTGCAGATCAATGACGCATCAGGATTGATAAGTGGATTTCGTATGATAGATTATCTCCAGCTGGTGAAACAAGCAGTTCAGACAAGCACCGCATATCAGCATCATCTCTGCCCGCGGTTTGTCGATTTTCAAAATGTTTTCGACTGTCTACATTCGTTCAGTCCTGAATTCCTTGAGAAGTCAAGTAATGGACAAAGGACACATAAACCTGATCGATGATTTACCAGAATATAAATGCTAATATAAAGCCTTACGAAAGCACAAACAACAAGTTTCAAATCGAAATCGGTGTCCGACAGGGGGAAGCAATATCACCGAAGTTATTCACGGCTGCCCTAGACGATATTTTCAAGTTACTATGTTTTGAAAATCAGGGCTGAACATAAATGGGCACTCATTAAGCCATCTGCAGTTTGAGGACGGGATTCTAATTCTCGCCTGGTTACCAGAAGAACGCGAACAAAGAATCCTGGAGCTGGACGACGACGGTATTAAAACAGGGCTGATAATCAACCTGAAGGCGGTTCAGGTCAAGTTCAACAAATACGTGACTCCGCGACTGATACAAACGGCCTTAGGCCTGAAGAAGTGTACAACGTCCCTCTGTAACAGCTCAACTCTGTAAATGAGAACCCACTACGGAAAATCAACAGAAAAAATGGCATGGAGTACTTTCGGAAGACTGCAAACATTTCTATTCGGGAAACTGCCCTTATGCTTGAAAGGAAGTTTCCGATCAGTGTGTGCTCCCAGTACTAAATTAAGCTAAACCCTAAGCCTAAAAACTATTCATAAACTGCAGACAACACAAGGCAACATGATAATATATCTGTTGGGGAAAACAAAAAATACAGGAAAACGAATGAATGGGACAGAGAGCAAACATAATCTTCGATGTTAGTGCTTGCCTAAGTGAAGAAGTTGAAGTGGCAATGTGCAAGTTGCAATAAGAACTGACCATCGCTGGACCAAAGTGACTGGATTCTAGAAAGAAAAAAGCTCTCAGAAAGACCTCTGGGTTGACGGCAGAATAAGCTAAAGAAATTCGCTGGATCAAGATCGATACAAATCGCAGGAAAGAGAAGTTGTGCAGCCTTGGAAAGGCGTTCATCCGGCAGTAGATCGAAAAAGGCTCATGACAGTGATGATGATGACATAATACCCATCTGCCGCTGCTGTATCGCATACTAGTGTAAGTCTTTATCACTTTACACAAACAATCGAAAGGAGGATGACGATCAGTCCAAAGCGAGATCATGTTCTAGACAGTCCATATGCGAGCTGGACTGCTTTACAGGGCAACGAATCGACTGCTGACCTTTTCATGACTAAAACGACAAGTAATTCATAATGCATACATGCCATGGGTGAAATCAACGGTTACAGGGTCTTGCCTTGCGTTAATCCGCTCCTAACGAGATGAATTTTTACGTGTGACATCAAGCACCAACAAGCAGCATCTTCTCACATATAGCATACTTTGTCCATCGCCGTTATCCACTGATATGCATCGATCGACACTGGACTTGCATTGAAAATTTATTAAGCGTGCATTAACTATGCATCACTTGCGTCACAAACATGACACAGAACCGAGAAAAGTGGCTGCGCACATGCTATCTACACTTCGACAGAAGACAAAAATTGACAGTAGGACGCATAAACCATGCTAAGGATAAGCACTTTAAGCAGAAAGTAGATTTCAAATTCGAACTTATCTTAGGAAAGGACTTCGAAGGTTGAAATAGTAACAATCAAATCCATTTCTGTATTGCCCATTCACCTGACCGCATGCAAGCCCAACTGCGTCCACGGCTGTTCGCAGCAGGTGACTTGTTTTTCACTAACTTTCAGGCGTTCAACGCAATATGATACACCAGAAAACTCGGCATTAACGTATAGTTTTACAATGGCGACTTTCACCACACTGCATAAAACATGTGATCACGAATGTCTGATTCTTTCGACCGCTTCAGTTATCATCGTCGATCTAACACGGCAGCTGCAGTAGGTTCAATTATTTGTTTAGAATGAATCAGTTTTCCATTATTTGTCATTCATAGCGCCTTCACTCGGGCAACAAATCGAAACAGTAGCAAAAGTGGATTACCTAAGTTTGTAGAAACTAATCTAAATGCTAAAAGAGAAAAAAAATAAACAACGATAAGACAACCTTTGAATTTAAAAGGTTATTTAACGAAGAATTTATGGCTTGACAGAACGACTTTGTCAAAAACAGAATAAAAAATAATATCGTTCACCTGCTATGAAGACTTTTCGGATCTAACGCTGGGTTACACGAGATTGACTTATACCATACGCCCATAACAGCAAAGGCTACATTACTACAACTACAATTGACGATTTCCGAAGAAATTCAGCACGACCAATACCTCAAATGCTTAGATATTTATGCTACTCAAACGCAATAAACTTACATAATATTAACTTTCATGTATTACACCATGATAACCTCCTAAGTTTACAATGACGTGCCGAACTTAGACTTCGACCGTTACAAGCAAGTTATACTACTGAAGTATTATGCAGATTCTCAAGTACATATATTGATTTATTGCAGCGAAAACGCTTTAAATCGGATTAGGACGATTCGGCGCTGGTCGATGGTCGTTATCAATGTGCAATATGTTTTATACCATTTGAGCGGAATGTGGTCGTCGCAGTCAACTGTAATATTTACCCAAGTAAGTTATATGTCTATAAGAAGCTCTCCGTGAGCATGATGTAAAACTTCTGTCAAACTAATGAATTTCTAAGACTCTAACCCATGAAGGTAAGTAATAATATCACTCTTATGATATTCATTCACAATGGATATTATCCTTTTATCCGCATTTCAATTTACAACTTTACAAGATACGGGATAATATTCAGTTCTCGCAGGTAGAAAAATGTAGTTATAAAATAAAACACAAAATTATAGAAATTCATTAGTTTGACAAAAGTTTCACATTGTGCTTACGAAGAGCATCTCATAGAGGTATAACTTGCTGGGTTGATGTATAACTTGCCGAAACGGCTGCGCCGAATCGTCATAGACCGCTGTAAATAGCTTCCTTGTTGTGGCACGCTATTTTCTGAATCACTATAATAAATTATTTTGTCTATGCAGTTTCTGTTAAGATTATAGCCAATCCAAATTCAAAAAATTATTTAGGCTCTTCGCTCGCATTGTGATGTGGTGGTGGGGACACTAACGAATTGTTTGCAGAGGCCATCAGTGAAGTACGCTTTTGG